GTGGTGAGAAAAAAACGCTAACTTTCTTGTTTCCGGTCACGATGCAACCGACGACGAATAATTCCAACCAACCACGAGAGCCGATGGATACGTCAATACCATAAATGGTAATATCTAATGCTTATCGATAAAGGAAACGAATTTAAAACCAATGACAGCAAGGTATCGAATTACAGTAAACTGACGTCATTGATCGGTAGATCGAGAAACTAAAACGGGCAGGCGACACAAAAATATAAAAGTAACTAGAGAATTGACATATTGGTTGCACTCAACGATGCGCGAACATGTAATACAGGGTAATGGAAATAGAAATATGACTACAAAGGTTAATACTATTTTAAACTGTTACATGGCATATGTCGCGGCCCAGCGTGATGGCTATAAAAAAAGTGGAGATGCACCCCTGTTAGTGCCTACCAGAGACGCCCTCACGACAGATGCTGGGAGAGGCAGCGACGTCAGGCATATGCCAAAGTATCAAGTATCAATAAAAAAATGTACAAGTTGCGAAAAACATTCTTACTATTCATAATTATCATAATTATCTGACTTTTAGATCCTTCATTTTGCCTCTAGAGGGTCCTTTCATAACGACATTTATGGTAAAATTTAATACAAAACTCGTCAGCAAAATGACGCTACTTTACTAGAAAATTAAAGCACTCGACCATTTTGCCCCTAATGGGTCCTTTCATAACGACATTTCTGGTAAAATTTAATACAAAACTCGTCAGTAAAATGACGCTACTTTACTAGAGAATTAAAGCAGTCGACCCTAAAGAGGCCCCCTACTTCAATATTTCCTCGCCAGTAATTTAACATTTTCCTGACTTTTATGTAAATAACTATTACTTGAATTAATTGCTATGGAATCTGCAGTTTTGTAATAATTAGGATTTGAATTAAAGAAAAATCTTTTTTAGACACGTTTTTATATTTTCTAATGCGGCTATCGATTTCAACCTATATTGGGTCATCTTCAGGCCGAGCTATAATAGTTTACTTTCAAAATGTGAAAAATAATCAAGCCAAAGAAGACCTCGAGCATCAATCAAGTTTGGCTGCAAAGTAACGGACAGTGACACATTTTGGCAGAACAAAAACCTATGCACATATTTGATAATTTTAAAGCTCTCGGGGTATTACTACTGAATATTTTTAAATTTACATTAACCAACTAAGTTGAATGAGAGATCCAAAGACACTCATACTTCAAGTATAAAAAATATAAGGTCCATTTCCCTGAATTTTGATTATTTCTATTTAGAATATCAAATGTTTGGGTAATTTATTCTTTTTAATTTTGATTCTGATTTGAGCATTTTCAGGAAAACTAAAACAGGATGCTTTAATTTCTTGATTCCGCTTTAACTTTGCTCGTATTCAACTGATCCCCACAGAAGGTGCTTAGTGATACATTTTCCGATATGCTGTAGGCAGGGCTGTAGGTAATTAGCCTGGTAATTAGCTTTATGTTTAAATACTCTACAGCTGATGCTACCAGGTTTTCTAATTATTAATTTAGTATCTATAAAAACGAATCAAGTGCCTTCGCCCATTTTCCATGCGTGTATCTGATGTATCGTACAATTTTTTTCTACTTATGACACAAACAAAGTAACGTGAGGTGAGTGTCTTGATTGAGGCACATATTGATGAAATGTATATCATTTTGATGGAACTCACAGGGAACAGGTCCTCTTGAAAGCGATTTTTCACAGTCGTGCGATTGTACAACTCGGCTTCGCCTCGTGTGGCAGTAATAACCATTTTGAAACGTATTGCCAACATTCATTATGTAATATACCTACCTACTATTCTCGTGAACATAAGCAATCACCGAGAAACCAAGATTATAAATGAATGATTTTGCTTTTGTTTTTAAACAATAATCGCACTAACATAACATATTAAAGTGACGCAGTATATGGCGAAAGATGAAACTGTTGGATATTTTCATAAATATTTTAAATTTTTCCACCGACATGTAATACAATGAAAATCCTTTAAGCATAGACAAAATTCCACGCTTAGACCCACGAAAGATTTGCTTTGTTAGTGTGTCTCGTCGCTTTCCATTTTTCTGGCACGTTTATAGCTTTACATATAAGAAAGTTGATTAATTCCACTAAAATCGGCCAATACCCTAACTTTCTGCGCCACCATCAATTATATTCTTATGAATCATTCATATTTCACAAATTTTCATAAAAGGATATTATTTTGCAGTTTATCATCCATTCAATAGGGTTTTCAACAGTATTTAAAGCTTCATATAGCTTGGCCAACTCCAAATTCCGTCACATTTTGCAACTAGACATCCGTACGGAGTTACTTCAATACGAATCGTCATAAATAGTAGAAGCCTAAGCTCCACCTGCATTGTATTATACCTAATTTAAATTGTCATCTAAGTCTTAAAGGAAATATTCGTATATCTACATAATTGGTATTTTGCACTTGAGGGATTCGACTGAAAACATTTAATTCTCTTATAATTTTCATTAAATTTGCTCCTATTAGCTAAAATCGGTAGGTACCTACCCGATAGTCACAATCACGGTGAATATTCACCGTGGTCACAATTTAAAGCGTAAAAATTATATTTTACAGTATACAGGTTTTATTATACATTCGCTGCATAAATAAAATGACCAAAAACACGTGACGGGGGATTACCACCAACCAAGCTATAATTAAACCGAAAATTAAATTAATCCATAAATTAATGAGATGGGATGAGAGATAAATACCACTAATACTATTAGGACGTGCCAGCTTGTTTACAGTAGAAGTTCATAAAAAAACACATAATAACAATAATTGCCTTTTCGAAGTGACTACAGGATGTTATAATCTGCTTATGACTATTCAGGGGCAGCAGATGTCATTGCTTGGTTTTAAATGGTCAATAAAGTCCCTAACTATTCTACAAATAACATAAACGTTTTCTGGGTAAAATTACAGTGCTTGTCGTTTGCTTTTTCAGAATGTGGTAATTGTAATTCAGAAATGTAGGTTGAATTTATAAGTTTCAATTGGAAATTAGACTAACTGAATGTCATGAACGATCCAGTGGAATTCGCATTAATCGTTTGTATTTTATAAAACGGCCTATTCAGGTTCAGAATAATCCATTTAATACAAGGTGTTCAACGATGAGCTGATTCGGGAGTTATTCAATGAGCACATTGCAGCTAAAATACTTTTTTCATTTATTCGAGTTCCTTGAAATTTGGGAAAATAGGTTGCCTTTTGTACACTGACAGCAATACAGAATATCTTATACCTATTATCCTTATTATTTAGAATTTTTGTACTCAAACCTAAAACCAGGGGTTGTATTAGCACTATCGCCAAAGGATCTTTATGTTACTTAATACATCCCGTGTTACTTGGTAAAATACAAAGTGTAAAGGGATTAAACTATCATGTATCGTCATAAAATAGAATACGCTAATTAATTACTACCCTTTCTACAGTAAACATTCCATTTTCTTATGAAATGAAATAGAAATTAGTATGTCTGGTGCAATATTCGTAGGGTCCATTCTACTTTTATTACACGTTGTATTTCTATTACATAATACATTGAAAATTTGGTAGTGTCACGTTGAGTACACAACGACAGTGTGGTTAGGCTCCATTAAATTAGTTTATTTTATAGCACGTGATAAACGTAGATAAAGTGAAACAAATGCTTGCGCATTCTGATTAAGTCTGTCATTCTTATTAATAATGGGACGCGAAGCACGAAATAAACTGCAGTTCATATTCCATGGAACCTGAGCTTGCTATTTTTAACGTATAAATTAAATTCAGAATTGTCAGAAGCTGTACCATGATGTCTCTGGCTTAACGGACGTACGTCTTTTGCTGTGGTCTTGATGGATGGGGATGTAATCCGTGGTGCCGGGTTGGTGAGTGGGGTGCCGAATTACTTGGTAGATGTGGTGGACGTGTACTGTTTGCGTTATGTTGGCGATGGCGTCTACCAGCTCGGCTATGTCGGCAAGGATGGCCTGGATGTCTCCTGCTTGATTCATTGATGATGTGATACAAAACTCGCCAGTAAAGTGATACCACTTGACTTGACTGGAATTAAGTTTATTTAATATTTCCTGGCTAGTAATGGTGAATTTTCTTGACTTTCATGTAAATAAATTGCTGTGTGCACTGATCCGTAGGCCATAAAAACCGTACAAAAACACCAAACAAAAACCTAGCTACCTCTTGACTTTTATTATGATCACGGCACAAAACCTCTCCCTAGACCTCTCCCCAATACAGAGGAAAGAGTCGACTCTGCTCTCAGTTAACCTGTTAACTTCTAACAGATAGTGGGTTAGACCAAATACCTTAAACTCCAAACTGAACTCCAAATTTTGAATAAATAAAATAAACCTTGGGCAAGCAACCAATAAAAACCCAGGTAAATTAGAACGTTCGTTGTGAATGAAACACACGGAAATTAATGTGAAAATTACAAAAGTGCGATTTAATCTTAACACACAAAAAGAAAATGGTACAAAACACAAACAATAATTATTACAAATAGACTAAAATTAAGACTTCACTACATACCTTACTTGTCCGGGAATTGAAGTATCCAATCAAAAGATATCCGTACACAGTTCACAAAAATTAAAATTTTCAATTAACACAAATGCCACTACTACACTAACGACATCGGGTAATCGCAGCATCTTGTCTTCGAGTAGACAAGGACGTTCACAAAAAACTCAACTTCAAACTGAGTCACGTTGAAAGCAAACTTAGGAAGCGCCGACCAGCCCCTCTCCTTGCAGCACCTTTGATGGCCAAAAATTTTATGACAATTCTCCAGCCAGTAAGACAAAAAAAAGACTTCGGGGTTGTACTATGCACGCACAAACGCAGAAAAATAATTAGCCGCGAATTCCGGTTTCACAAACGAAACTTCTTCAATCTTCAATCTCACATTGAACGACAACTTTTGATGCTGGCTGCGGCTTCAAATGAGTAATAAACTGGCCGTAATTCAACGATGGAGCTCCCAAGAAACGAATAAATCTTCAACGAAACGTAATTCCGCTCTCAACGTGGCAAAAAGCCGAAATTAAAAATTTCAATGAAACGTAGTTCTGCGTAGACTGTGGCTAAAAGCCGATTTTAAATCTTCAACAAAACGCAACTCGGCGCTGAACGCCGCTAAAAGCGACGCTCTTCTTGTGAACGTCCTATTTAAGGCGAATCCGTTCTTCCGATAATAAAAATTACAACAACCAATCATACACAGTCGACAACAATGAGAGAACCAAAATTTGTTATCAGACATTAAGAGATAAATCCAAACTTAAATTCTAGGAGAAACAAAATTTTATCTCTCTTAACCACACAGAAAAGGCCAAAAATCACATTAACCTGTCCATCAAATTAACCACTTACATTTGATAATTGATAAGGAACTTTCTTCGTTTGAATAAAATGTAAACAAAAACAACTTTGACCGCCCTGTTGTACAACACAACAATCTCCATGCCGTTACACAGACCAACGACAATTAATAAAATTTAATTATGAATGTTAGTTACACAGAAAGGAGACCGCCCTTGTCCACCCTAATTAGGATTTCCGAAAATTTCATCCTGCCGGGCGAAATAAACACAGCATAATATTAGCACGATGACACTCGGGCTATTTATTTTCGAGCCCGCGAAGCAAATATTTTCAAAGTCAATCGTATGTATGTAAAAAATGCAAGTAATACTTGTCTTGCAATGAATGTATTTTGTCTCGTCTTGCAAAGGTTCTTCTCTTCTTGTACAAAAAGATCAACATAGGTCGCCGAATCAAGAAGACACCTCCTCCACCCTGGAAAAAGCTTTGTGACTTCGACAATAAATCCCGAGTACGCAATACGAATTAGTACACTGACTAAAAAAATGTTAAGCTTTTAACTAAAACTTATTAGGTGTTGCAACATCTACCGGTACCAGTATAGCCTCAATCCTTGCAGCCGACGAAACACAACATTTAAAATTGAAATGACTCAAACAACGAAATCACAGAAAGCTTATCCGATAAAACAAAACCAAACACAATGTAGCAGATAAAATTATGAACCACATTGGACATGAAATTTGTATACCACCCCATATTGCTACCCTATTGAAACAGACTGGGAGTCTTGTAATAATTTTTGCAACAAGCACATACAGTCGCAGGAAGTGATGTTGGTCATTCCAGCGTGGAATATAAACAAACATATACTTACATGTATCCGTCGTTCAGTACTACAAATACAAATAAAAGGACAACACTTATGAAAAAATATTGGAAACAGAATACCTATACTTACTCGTAAAGCTTAAAACCTTAGGTTTGAAATCAGAGCGATGTAACTTTTGTATGAACGTTTTTAATTGATGTACATTAAAATAAGGGAATGATTCCCCCATTGTGCTGATGAAGTAATAAAATAGAACAACTCTAACCCGCAGAGTAATCCAGGCGTTGTTGATGAAAAAGGGTTCGGAATATTCATATGTGATTGGTAGTGCAACATAAAACGCCAGTCCCTTACTTATAACGCCCAATTTAATCTCAGAGTTTTGCTGATTGTATAAATACACCTCGAAAACGTTCACGGATTTAGTGGGATGTAGAAGTTTTAACGTGTAAATGTGTTTTACTTGTTTGACTAAATTATGAATTATAAGTTGGACGTGCTCACTAAAGCGTTTAATTAACTTTTTACAGGGAAGTCGACGGGAATCGTTACCAACACTCGCATTACGCACGCAACGCCCGCGGCTTTATATGGCCACTCGCCCTCCCGATATTGGGAAGACGACTCGAAGGTACCGCCAGCAGCACGGAAGTCCTGTAAAGATTTGGCAAGGCAACTTATTGAGAACGATCCAGGACGGAATATAAATGTACGTATGATTCGTTTTAAACAAGCTTTCCATAAACCTAACTCTACTGCAAGAACTTTCGGAACTCCACAAAATCGAAGTAAAGTTAAGTTCTCGAAGAAAAAAAAACACCCGGAGGAGATTTACAATTTGTTCCTTAGTTTTAAGCAGCTTACTCAAAGCCTTCTTATGCGTTCATCCAAGGAATAAATTCTTATAATGCCAAAATACGATCACGTAGATTAAATTTTATAAAAATATTGTATTTTAAGGAAGAATATTCATACGTTCATAGCGGAAACTTCGCTCTAAATTCACAACGGAGTTTAGATTAGGCAGCTCAACTGATGAAGCATTTTTAGCGCATTTTTGCAAATTTATTTGTAAAAAGTAGCTTTTAATCTCACTTTGGCTGGCTGGCTGGATGGCTGGCTGGCTGGCTGGCTGGCAGCAAATGTGGGCGCGTAGAAGAACTCTTGTAGAAAGGCAACGGGTGTACGTGTATCTACAGGGCCGTGAAATTTGTCACCCTTAGGGACATGGCTACATGATGTGGGGTTGGCGACATCTGGGCGTCATCCTCGAGCGTAGTATACTAACGTGAAGGTTTTTCAGTTTTTTCCTATCTTCTACTACAGTTTTGGTCCGATTCTTTTGAAATTGGTGTCGTCGGAAAGATGTTGTAAACGCGCACAACTCCTGCGTGGCGGAATTTTGTTTTTTGTCATAGGGGCGAAATTAACGACCTTTTGCGAGGCGCGCGCGCGCATCTTCGAGAAGTAGTCTACTTCGGACGCCTTTTCCTTCCGTTGCGAACTCACGCGGTTTAACGTTTCGTAAATCTCGAATCGCTGTCTCTCTTTCTCGTGTCGCCAATAGAAGTGAATTGCGAGTGAACGGGACGTCGGAAGTGGGTACCGTAAAAGAGAATGTGTTAGCCCGCGAAACGATCTCACTGATGGTGGAGTCAAATCTTCAATCACGAATTGCGGGTGAACGGGACGTCGGAAGGGGGTACCGTCAAAGGAAATGTGGTAGCCCCCGACACGATCTTCCTGATGGTGGAGTCAAATCTTCAAACGCGAATTGCGGGTGAACGGAACGTTGGAAGTGGGTACCGTCAAAGGGAACGTGGTAGCCCCCGACACGATCTTACTGATGGTGGAGTCAAATATTTAAAAGCGAATTGCGGGTGCACGCGGAAAGTGGGAAGCGGTTAGTGAATGTAGTAGCCTTCGACAAGATCTGTTATTGATGGTTGAGTCGAAAGTGGCTAATAGAATACTGATCTGCCACACAAAAATGCGCTGAAGTCCCTTCGATCTCAAACGAGGACTTTGATAATTTTTTTAATTTTCGAAACCCAAATTATCACCTGTTATGTTCCAAACATTCGATAACATCACAACGAAAGGAAATATAACGAACCAAAATGCCTTGTAGATGTAGTTCAAAGTTGGGTGGCTTCATAATTAAGTTTATACCAAATTTATAAGCTTAATTATTAACGAGATATACATATTCATGTCCAATTCCGTAATCGCAAATCATTCACGCATATAACGAGAAAAATTCGATTTATATTCAAAACTGGCAGAATCAAATAAATTGTACGTACGGGTCAAGTTATTATCTGCGTGATGTCATAAAATGTACTTGATATAAGAATATTTTCGTAGACACAGTCACGTGGGCTGTATCTTTCGCCTCGTACTTCAATATTTCACCAATAATGTGTCATTTTCCTGATTTTTACGTATATAATGTATTTACTGGCACTGAATGTGCCGCAAGACCTGCATCTCCACCACAACTCGTCTCCATCAACCGTCTTTCACACAGGACAAAAATCGTTATCCTTCTGTTTCATTTGCCTACTATTTTTCCTTCACTGTATGCTTCTTTCTTGTATCTTCTTGTTGCTCCACCCCCTTCTTTTTTTTCTTATTTTGCTTCGCTCCATTCTTTTCGTTTTTTTTCTTTCGCCATCTTCTCTTCCTTATCTTTCAGTGGAGTTGATGTCGGCATCTGTGAACGACCAGCCGTCCTCTTCCGACTAACACAGTGTTTAACTTGTGGTGTTGGAATAGCACACAAATCTCTAAAAGACATATTGACTGCGTTCTTCTTCTTCAAGCTCACAGATTTGTCTTCATTATCACTTTCAATAACCTCCTCAGATTCATCTGGAGATTGCAATTCGGACGTTGAATTTAAAAACAACATTATAAATATGGGCCGCTAACCCTCTGCTCCACTCTGTTGATTAACAATTTACTTTGTTTGGATCGAAAAATGAAAATTGCAATTAGAAAACTGCCGCACAAAAATATAACATTGAGATAAATTACTACAGTAAATGAGTAACTAGCGCAGTTGGTTCGATTTTTATTAACTTTTGATGTATTGAAGGAAAACGGACACCTAAATTTATGTAGGCAGTAATTTCTTATGAAATGATTTAAACCTGAAATCCCTACCTATCTCGGACATGAATAACTACTTCTTAAAGAAGAAATGGCCATCTCTTTTTTAAAGTTAAATGGTTTAATTGTGCGTACTGAATTCCAGGAAAATATAAAAAAGTCTGGAAAGACTGGTCACAAACTCGAAGATTTTTTCGATGAGAATACAAAAACGTATACAATTTTACATAAGTTTTTCGACACTTTTATGATCTGGTTCTGAATTTAATAGGTCTAGTAATAGTTCGATCGGAACGATCAGAATTTACAATAACAATACAACGAACTTTGTCGTGGATATACTTGCTGTTGAGGCCTAGGTGGTTTACAACTCAGGGGGATTACATTGGTATAGTTGACGAGTGATTGCTGGAAATGCATTCTTAATCTGACAGCATGAATATGATTGATTCCAACTGCAGCTTTTGGAAAGAAAACTTCCTGGGCGATGATCAATAGGTTTGTAGTTTCGGTTGTTATTCTATTGGTCTGGTCAGTACACAATTTTGGGGTTTGAAAAATGAAAGGCGAGTATAAACATATCCCGCTTTTAAGTGTTTGTTTTTGACTTTGCGATTTAGTGTGTGGGAAATTCCTTTCACAAAGTTTTCACTTTGATTAACTTTAACCTTAACGGCACAATATAAACGATAATTTCAACCTCGACGTACTATTATCTTCTAATGGTACTACGGAGCGTCCGAAATGTTTGCGTAATTCGCTGATTTGCACGATATAAACAAAGTCTTTATTTACATTGAAATGCGATACGATTATGTGTCTGCACCTCGGTCCTCGACAGAGATATACGTAATTGTTTCTTCGCGTAATTTTTCTCTGGCGATAATTCTTATAGAAGATGCACTTTCTTACCGGCTAACACGTGCAAATTTTACACGCCTTAGTGAAAAACTAAACGCACTATCGTTATGATAATCCAAAAAATGATAACTCAAATTTTTCCACTTGGGCTAAATGCTAACTTCCAAAAAACTATTGGATATTATGGACACTAGACTGTCCCTGGGAACTAACTATTTTTCTACTCTTTGAAGCTCGTAATATCCCCAACGCTGGGTTTACTGATTGTGGCTCTGAAATCAAATAGGAATGTGCGTGAGCTTGCTGCTAGATGCGGTGTGAAGAACATTCGTATTTGAACTCATTGTATCAATTTTGAGTGTATCTTGAGTGGAGCGTGGTTCATAATGTCATGTTCGGTGTTTTATTCTCTCGATTGGAGTTCAACGAGCTTTACCACAGCCGGCGCCGGCGCTCCATTGCCGGTGAATGCTATCGTGTTACGTGTTAAAAAGAGGTACTATAAGGTTTCATAGCTGACGCTGCGAGTTGGAGTTGCATGCGAAGGAGAGATGTAAAATTTCTGCTATGTTGGCATTTTTCACCTTCGATTTGGAGACCCAATGCAAATTAACGAAGCATCTCCGCCATTGGTGTCCATTATGAAATAGTCGTCTTAAGTTAGTTTAGCATAGAAGGAGGGGATGAGCTTTTCACAGAAATTAGGGGATTTGCGTTTGATCTGTGGCGCTAGGAGGGTGGCATTTGAAGAGCCAACCAGGGAGATTTGCGGCGTAGAGATTAGAGTTTTGGTTCTCTAGTACGGCGTTTTCCAAAAGCGGCTTCGAGAGCCTTAATTATTAATCCCAGCGTTCTTGGTATTCCGAGCTTCAAAGAGAAGAAAAGTAGTTAGTTCCCAGCGACAGTTAGTGTCTATAATATCCAATAGTTTTTTATTTACTACTTATTTGTTTGTGTTTTAGGTAAATTCTTATTTTTTTTTATTATTTGATTTCATAATGTAACTCACTACAATATTTCCCAGAGTCGTAACCTCTGCTTATTTCAAGTAACATAAACAAAGAATTTTAGAACTGGAAGGCAACTGTTAGCTAGAATTACCTACAGATAAATTGGGTTGATGAATGTGTTGAACTTAATTGAGCAGAAAGCCCCCAGGTGAGAAAATAAATAATTATTACTAAAGACGAAAGAACCTGGCTGTGCATTGGCAGATTTTTTCAAAATATTCGCGGAGAAAGCCTAATAACACAAAAACAATATTCGATCATCATAATGGCAGCACTTGGGCATTGCTCGAGATCAAAGGCCAATTTATTGGAAGAAAATAGGCTCCCAGAAAGAAGTAAGCGAACCCTTTATGCATTAATTAAATTTCTTACCGAGACTTAAATCCGCAAAGACAAAAACACCGCCTTTACTAATTAATGATATACAAGGAATCTGGAATCCAATATAAATAAACGTCAAACAGAATTGGTTGTTATTTTCAGAATATACACAAGGATTTTCCAGTATATTATTACTTCGATTTTAAAGGGAAAGTGTTTTTCCCGAGGATTTATTGGTGCCTATTAATATTACGACGGTTACAGATTCTACCAGCCATTTGGGTCAATTGATTTCATGAATCTTTGTTAGGAAGGTCTTCACGAATACTTTACTTCTTACGAAGTGTAGGGTCGGCATGGGCAAGATAATATTTGCTTATATGGTAATTTACAATTGCATTTACTTACGAGTATAGTAAATCCTCTAGCTACTTACTTATATCTCTACCTCAAATTGAATTGAATTCGTTAGTGGTGCACAACATCACTAAGTAACGGCATTAGTTCTATTTCCGTTTTAGTCAATTACCTGATTCGATAAATTTAAGTCGATAAATTAACTTATTCGGAACAAATGAGAAGTGCTACGTATTCTTTTGTTAAATGACAATTGGACAAAAGACGTTAGTTGCCAAAGTGCCAAAAAATTGCTTAATGCAGGAGCTTCCAGTTTTTTGTTGTAAATTCACTATGAAAATTTAAGTGAAATGAAACAAAAATGTAAAAGAATCATTAAAATGCCTCCACAAATGAAAAAGGCACAAGATTTTAAAGTCGCGCTTGAAAAAATAATTTCGCTTAGGCGTGTGACGTCACTTGACCTATTCGCATACGGAGCCCATTGGTTCGCTTAGGTTACCAACGTAACGGACGCATTCAATTAGGTTAAATGACGTCACAGGCAGTGCAGACCACTACTGTGGTGCGCACTGAATACTTAACTTAAATAATATATTTCTCAGTCATTTATTGATGGATTTTTCTTTATAGTTTATTAGTTTTGATCTATATTTTAATGTCATTAAGTTAAATATTGTATTATCAACATCATGAACCTTGTCCATTGAGTAAGTCATGACACTTTACTGCAATGAAATAACACTAATTCGCTAGGCCAGCCGTCAGAGGGTTTGTACCTTATAAAGAATCCCAAGATTTTCTAATTTCGGTGTGCTTTTTATTTATCGCCTCTGTAGTCTACAGACCATGCAGTGTAAAAGGTTGTGCTTCATATAGCTCCTGCATTTCGGAAATGTAGTTCTGGTAATGGTTTCTGAATTCTTATGTCTCTGAAGTTTATGCGATTGTAGTTTGTGTAGTTTCTTTAGCTATTGTAGTTGTTCCCACAGTTTTAATATTTCTAGTTTTTGCAATTTATAAGATTTTTTTCTAATTTTGCAGTTCATGCAGTGGTTTCTATAGTTGTAGCTTCGGCAACTCATTTAAATGTGATAGTTTTGTATTTCTGCAGTTTTCTTAATTCTTGTAATTATATACACTTTATTCCGTATAACTTCCGTTGCACGTCATCATTTTCTGTGACGTAATTACTATGCAATAATGCCAAATCTAGTTTTGAGCGATTTAGGTTAAGTCACTTGTCAACAAGACAGTGCATTCTTTGTGTGAACAATCCACACCTTAAATAAAATAAAAATAATTTTTATTATTCATTTCGTTAATTGGAACCACAATATACATACAATATACTTTAATAACTTATGAACTGTACAAATGTAGCATCTCTTTTACAGAGAAAGTACTAAATATAAAATTTTACAGGTTATGTGATGGATGATATTCAAATTAATCGGAATCATCGGAACTGCTTTCGTGTTCAAAGTTTATAATAATAGTAGCAACGTTTTCAAGATCTAATTGCTTTTCTCTTTCGTACCACTCGTGTATTACAGTTTCCGTATCCTTAACTGAATTGCGCCACGTTTCGGAAGTTATCGATTGTAGTGATTCTTGTCACGTTTATGCAATTTTCAATGCTTCGTCCATCTCTACCAATGTGTCGATTGTAGTAATTTTTCGCTATGCCCCAAATATGTTCGATAGGATTAAAAATGCGATGATCGGGTGGTAATCGTAAAACGAAGTAACTGTATTGCTCAGCTAAGTGGTCAATGCCTTATGCGGTACATTTTAGCTGATTTATTCCTAAAAGTATCAACAAGATTTATATAACATCAAATAATTTGCGAACGTACTTACTGTGCAACCTTTTCAACAGTTCGGCTGTAAAATCATTTTCGGAGAACTGCACATTATGATCACCTAACCACACTTTAATGTTGTCTGTTTTCCCGTTATCGAACACAATTATTGACGGGTTATCTAAATTCTTCAGTAATTTCTCTTCAAACCAATGCACAGCGAAAGACGTAGAAAATAATCAAAATCAAATCAAACGAAAAGTAAACCAAAAGCAACCTGTCAAATTTACAAATTTAAACGCGACAACATAGCGAAATGCTACCAATTGTTGCGGCTAAAATAAACTACATGCTTAATGTGTTGCCTAATAAACGAAAGTAAGTTTACGTTGGTACGTCGTTTTCTTCAGGTAATGACGTGCAACGGAAGATATACTGAATAGACCGTATGTAGGTTAATAATAGCAGCAATTTATGTATACTTGAAATCAGGAGTCTGTGGCCCTGCGTCATTGATTTGTGAATCAATTTCAGACACGCTTTTTTATCAATTTCGCACACTTGATAGCTGGTTAGTGTTTTAACGTATGTCTGCATATGTCCAAAATTGATTCACAAATCAATGACGCAGGGCCGCAGACTCCTGATTTCAAGTATATATGAGTTCTGTAGGTATGTAATTTCTGGAGTTTATTCTGTGTTTCTGTAGTATAAGTAGTTTATTATTTTACGCTGGAAAGGACTCTTCTTAACGGTCCATATTTGATAGTACGCAACAAAAGACGATTGAACTGTGTCACACATTAGAACGTTAATGAAAATTTTGTTTCCAACGGAAATTTCTCCTTCAAAGAAATTGTGTTACGCGCACATCTCTTTTTTGGTGCATTTTGTTTAACTTGGCTCAGAACTTTGCTTTGTGCCCTTGTACTCCTTCAAAATGTATCTTTGGCATACATTCCTACACACGTATTATCAGTTTTGATGACAATTTAGGGATAATGTAATTTACCTCGTCCTCTTTCTAATTCAGCTATCGTTGGTGCAAGTCTATTTTCTACAAAAAGAATTTTTGGATAAATTCAACCCTTTTGAGGGTATAGTTATAGAAGAGACAAATTGAAACAATTGATTAAATTTGGAAGCCTTACCTATCAAGTTGTAGTTTCACGCCTTCTTTTGGAGGAAAATGCAACATTTGGAATTTCAAACCAATTCTTTTTCCACACAGTGCAGTAGGGGGCATCATTTTAGCATTGGAAATGCTGATGTTTGATGGCATTGTACGGTTTTAATTTCCAATGTCTCCGATGGTTGCATCATGCATGGATTGCGAAATCTGTGAATTTTTTTAATGACAAATTGAAGGAAATTAAAATTTTGTTTTAATGGAGTAGATTATTATGGAGAAATGATAAATATTTTTTTACCTAAACAATAGTTATAATGTATTTATATTCAGTTTTTGAGGAAAAACTTTTTATTAACTAAATATTCCTAAAAAAAGAAAGAGGCAAGCTAGTTTCAAATAAGTGGACATCTAGGAATTCTGTAATTTAGACAAAAATACTTACCTACCTTCCGTTTTATTCAAGAGAAGATGCACATAATTAAGAATTGTCACGTGTTGAGAAATAAAAGACCAAATAGTTTTTATTTGAAACATTTTTCCATTACTTTGGAGACATTCTTAGTAGAGTAGAGAATTGTTCACATCCGGCAGGTGGCATGTCGCTGAGTGAAGGATTTTTCACTCAACGCTTACATCGACGCTCTGAGTTGGTATCAAATCCAAATTCCATAAATCCAACGGATGGGGAAGGAACACGATTAACCACATCTCTGATTAAATGTATGCGTTACTAATTTGTTCTATTTCGATGTGGAAACAATACCGAAACCGTACATGATTGGCCCAGTTTGCGTGCGTTTCTAGACAGAAATGATGCTGAATGAAATAGAAACGTATTATTTTTTTATTTTGTTGGATTGGTACCCCTCGCTTTTTTGCCGTCAACGGTATCCGTCAAATCAAAACTAAACATAACCTGTAAAGTGTAAAGTGTAAATAACGTACGAGGAACTTGACAGATTGTATTAATTCCGATTAATTTTGAATATATACTCCAACGAGTAGAACTTTTTTTATTTTTACTTAGCGTAGTAAAATATGCCAGCAGTACATTTTTGCTTACTTTTTGAACTCCCTTCTCGGCCAGCCAGTTTTCCAAAATTTTGTACTCCTCGTACTTTACTTTCGATTTTACAGGCAGTAAATTTAACGTCGCTTCATTGGCAATCTCTTGGATCTCTTGGAACTGCCGCAAAATGGAATTATGACCAAATAATTAAAAGTTTGAAGTTTGAAAATACAGGAACCAGGTTAGCCAACGTGAAAATAAATGAACTGTATCTATTAGCAACATACACTGAATGATAGTTTACAATTACCTAACAACGTCTAAAGGCAATATTTATAATTTGTATAATTTATTATTTAAAATAAAAGTCGAAATAGAAAAAATAGTATAAAGCACACGTGTCATTTGTCTACTTGTCGCACTCGGCTTTTGCCACATTCGCCGCTACGCGGCTTATGCGGCAAACTACCTCGTGCGACAATCTTCGTCAAATGACACTTGTACTTTAATCTCGACTTTAATATACTATTATTGTTCTAGTTCAGATATCATTTTGCAATCGAAACCTTTACAATACAATAACAATTTTCTAATTATCCTGGGAGATTAATTGAATAGATCTATAGCACGCAACAACGTATCGTATGCTATTCCGCTAAAAGCATTAGGAGCATGTGAAATTCGACGCACCAAATTGATCCAATTGGTTTGAACTAATAAAAGTAACTTTGGAAGTTTCCAACTTTTCACTTTCGTTTAGAAATTCGACTTAGAAAAATAAAACTATTTAAGTAGGATCTAATATTGAGAAGTGTAAATAATCCGTCTGCGACGAACTCTCCACACCCAAATGAAATAAACTTAGGCAGGAAAAAATATACGAATGAAATTTATTGCATTTATTTGCGGAAATATATGGGATGTAATGGAGGGTATATTATGTATAAAAATGTCCCAACAAAATGGAACTTAAAATTTTGATGTGACACACGTCGACATGATTACGGTTCATTTAAAATCCAAATTTATTTGTTTGCCAAAAAAAGTTTATTTCTCATCTCAGGAGACTTTAGTATTCAAGTGCTACATGTAAAATTTATCACCGTATCATAAAGAGCAGAACTGAATAATAACCTACTTTGTATACTTTGCCCATCATTTGTCTCTAAATTTAACCTATCGGGGAGAACCGTTGCAACGACATAAAGTCCTGCATTTTACACTTAGTCATCGAATAAGCTTTTGTCATTTCAATCTGGTTTATATCTTGTAGTATTATGCATACAAGGTCTAACAATAAAACTTTTGGAATGAATTCGTAAAAAAATTATCTGTTTTCATATTCATTTATGCCTATGATAGCCTTCACTTCGCTAAACGATGATCTCACTGTTGTTTTTGGCTCGGTTTTTGGAGCTTATTCCGGAATGAGTTTTGTGTGCCAGAAAATCGGTATCCCTTTATTGCTCTTTTTTAGGAGGTGGAAAAAGTCACTCGGTTTCAAATCTGTAGAAGTGGAATTGTCCAACTTAGCGATTTGTTTATTTTCCTCCTTCAATGAATTCAAGGTTGTCTTGTGGTCGAAGAAGTGCTCAAAAATTGTTTGTATTTGTGATCCAGGAAATTTGTTTTTTTTTTAAATTTTAGACACCTTTTTGTTTTCCATTTGCAACGGACTTCGAGAAGGAAAAACGTGTTTTCGAGGAAGCAGAAACCTGATCATCCCGTCCGTAACACATCATATGTTTTCCTGAATGAAGCGAACACTTACCTAACTAGCTAAAAATTTTACAGTTTAGTTTTTTTCCTTTTTAAACCCGAAATTCCATGTGTAAAAACTTCTTGCACAACGTTAAACTTGTATCCGTATCATTAAACTAACATGAGGACGATACGGTTTTTATTTTTTTTTACAATTGCATAGCCGGCTAGACTACTTGTACCGAAGTTACCTTCACAGACAATTACGCTTTCTTCCAAAATATCCCAAGACAGCCCCGTTTACCCTCCATTCATCCTATTTAAGCAGAAACCACCTCCACTAATAAAATCAAAATCATTACTCCTAGCGACACTCGAAAATTTCTGTACCCCGCCAAAACAAATAAAACACCTGCATCGCTTATCCCGCACGTGACCAATTAATTCTTGTTCCATAACAACTTTTATCAACACCTGACTACATAAAACTTTAAACTTATGTAAAAATTTCAATTAAATGTTCCCTAAGTTACCCGTTTTAAATTTACCATACAAACTAAATAGAACAAATAAAATTAAATGAATTAAACAACTACCGACTAAATTTACAATAAGAAACTGGAATCAAAATTAAAATGATAAAACAAAAGTTCTTCCAATTCTGTGTCTATTTGAAATAAAAAAATTCCCAGAGGGCTTATAAAATATATAATTGAATTATACTCTGGCATACAGCATGTCCTGATTACTATTCAGACCGAAATAACACGTATTTGTACAGTACAAGGTGGTTCACTGTCACTTTCGGTGTTGTTCGTACCTAGAGAAATGACACAACAGTATCTAAGTTCTTGTACAAGAGAGTGAAAGTTTTCCATTTCATTTTGTGTTGCATTATGTGTTGTTATTGAAAGAAGGAATTTGGAGAGCGTAGGTATCCAGATATCCTATACAAATTATAATTCCGTAATTTAATGTACTCATAGTTAAGTTGCCACGTGTCCTTTCATCCTTTGTGCATAAACTTCAAAGGTTAAGTTGAGATTAATTAAGGGGGGTCTATTTTATAGATTGGTAATACCATAGACTATCCTCCTATAGTCTTTGGTATTACCAATCTATATTTTTATATCCTCCTATAGTCTTTGGTAATACTTAAGAGGTACCGTCCAATTAACTTGGAGGTAATTAAAATTAAAGAAGAGGAGGACTAATTATACGCTTTCTTAGTATCTAAGAGATTTAGAGTGAGAATTTACCAGTCAGTTACCCGTTCTTTTAATTGTTTCTGACTGTTTTGTGGTTACCAATATAATGATGATTCGGGATTCAATCGTTTTTATTTTTAACTTGGAAAAGAAACACGAGGGTAGAATTCAAGGGTGAGTATGACTTCCGAACTGAAGTGCGTTTCAAAATGAAGAATGCCAATGACTCGATATCCAGGGACATCTTCTCACCACATGAACATATTTTATTTGCGCCAGTGGCGTAATACAGAATATATAGTATTTGCTAACATTCAGTTTCATTTTTTTTTGTGAAGCATGAACCTTGTGGTACCTACTACACCTTTTCCACTTTTATTCGAGAAGTTGTAAATTGAATTTGAGAATTGTTACTTGTATTTGAGAAAACGTCAAAGTAGATGAGAATAGTCAGTTGGATTTGAGAAATTATCATTTAATTTTATTGTATTTCAGAATGTAATATTATTCCTAATGAATTATAATTAAGAATCAAATTTTTATAATTCCGCTACTGTATGTAGTCCCGCAACAGAAGCAGCAGCATCAGGCTATGTTATACATGTGATTTTGTTATTGATTCTCAAATACTTAATTTTACCATTTCTTGAATACAATTTACTACCCTCAAATTCATTTGATGCCTTCTCAAATACAAATCACTATTCTGAACTACATTTGTTGTTTTCTCAAATACATTTTACTATTCTCAAATACAATTGATACTTTCTCAAATTAACTTGATAGTTTCTCGAATAAAAGTGGAAAAGGTGTAGTTCTGGTATGTATGACGCGATCTGTACCTTTAAGATGCTGCATAAAATTGGAAACGATTTTGAAAATTACAAGCCAAGAACCATTCTCCAAAGTATCTGCTCACTAAAAATACAGGATCTATATATTCGTACTATGGACAGCTTACGTATTGGGAGCCGAAGACATTTTGTCAAACAGTTTTCGGTACGAATTAGCCAAATATATACCTAGGTAGGCGAAGCAAAGATTTTCAATGAATATATTGTTGTACAGTACTTCATGGAATATTTTACCACAGTCTTAAATCACTATCACTTTCCAGTATGGATTATTTTAATCCATAAAAATCTGGAGGAACGACCTGAGATATTTGCTACTATGAAGTATCATTGGCCCAGGTTTCAGATCAGTAGCACCCACCAGTCAAGAATACTTTTGAAGAAGGGGCAGACGGACAAAGTATTCACAATGG